TGCTGTGGGCTCACTTGTGGAGATGAGGCCGGTCGTTTCTTTTTCCTAGGCATTTCCCCAGAGATAGAGCAGCTACTAATTTCTGCTGTAAATCAGGAAGCTCGGCGTATTCCCACGATAGGGCGTCTAAACTCCACTCCTGCTGATAAGTAGTGTCTCTAAGACTTTTAACTCAAGCCCTTGACTCAAGCTTTGTAAATATAATAGCTGCCAAATGACAAAGATAAAATACTGAGGCTGATAAAAGCTAATAAAAAACTGATAAAAATAATAAAAACAGCATCAACTGGTGCGGAGCTCAAGTCAACGCTACCACTAACGACGACGCCATCTTTGGGCTTTTTTAATACAGACCTCAAGTGTGTCCTCATTGGTGGAGTCACTGATCCAAACATGGGCAAAATTATAGATTTTACCACACACTCAAACCTGAAAGCCACCAGGCCTCATTTGTAACTAAAAGGGGACTGAGGTATTTGGTGCTTCTCCTCGTTCAGTCAAATGGTCTCTTATCTACCTATAGACTAGCCCCTTGGAAGGCGCCAAAGACCACTGCAGCAAAAGCAACCTGTGGAACAGCTTCCCAGTATATCACACATTTTGAGGGGCGCCTTCATTTCTTACTCATAGAACACAGTAGAATAGAATCATAGATTGCAGAGATGGAAGGAACCCAGAGGAATCACACCTGAAGCATCCATGACACATGGTCACCTTCCGAGGGAGTCTGTTCCACTGTTGAACAGCTCTGTGTGCTGTTTGCATCAAAGCTCCGGTCATGGAGCAGAAATTTCCAAATATTTGTTCTATGTTGGACAGGAAAAGGTTTGATATTAAAGCAATAAGATAAATAAATACTAATCTTTGTGGATCATATAATGTTTCCTCCCTCCCATTAATATGAATATGTTTCACTCTTTTTAAATAATTCATTTATTGCAGAGTGTCAACTAGGTTCACCGAGTACATGCTATCTTTCCTGTTCACCATCCAAGAGATCAACCAGGATCTCAGGCTCTTACCCAACATTACTCTGGGCTACAACATCTATGAGAACCATTTCGATGCAATAATAACTTCGGACGCCATGCTAGAGCTGCTTGCAGGCAGTGGATGCAATATTCCCAATTATCACTGTGGAGAACAGAATCCCCTGCTGGCTGTTCTTGAAAGAGGCAATACTGTCATCTCAAGAGTGATTTCAGCCTTGTCAGGCATCTACAAAATCCCACAGGTAAGTAGTGGGAGAGCATGGAGGGACAGAGAATTTCAACTGTGTAAAATACTACTTTTTCTTTGGATAGGTCAAGCAGGGATATTTTTAAAAATGGGAAAATCCTGAGCTATGGATCCTACATCCCTTTTCCAAAACTGAGCCTTCACCAACTTGACACTTCCAGATGTTTCCAACTAAAACTCCCATCAGCCTCAGCCAGCAGAGATTTAGATATCAGTCATTTCAGATAATTAAATGTCTGTTATTCTGAAAGTAAAATAAATTGCTGATCTTTTGCTTTCCTTGCTAGATCAGTTATGGCTCCACTGCCCAGGTTCTCGAAGGTAAAACCCTGTTCCCTTTTGTCTACCGGATGAGTCCCAAAGAGGAAAGTCAGTATCAGGGGATTATTGAATTGCTCCTGCATTTTGGATGGACGTGGATTGGCCTCTTCACTACAGACAATGAAGGTGGAGAAAGATTTGTGAGCGCTGTGAAAACTCTGATGCTCAGCAAAGGGATCTGCATTGCTTTATCAAAAAGAGTACCAGAAAGTGATATGGGTCAATTTATCAGGCCTGGGGAACCTTTTTCCCTATGGAGACAAATTGGGGTATTTGTTTCCTATATAACCAATGCATATGTTATCGAAATACTCATGGCAGTAAACCATATCTATGAGAAGGAAATAGGGGCGAAAGTCTGGATCACAACAGCTTTGCTAGATACCACAATTGGCTTTTCCCTCCCTCCAAATCTATTCCAGCACCTCCATGGTTCTCTGTCCTTTGCAATTCAGACTGGAATAAGGAGCAAAGGTGGCAAATATAAATTGCAGACCAATCTTGGGGATTATTTCAATCAAGCATTTCAGTGTTCATATTCAAAGCATCAGTTGTCCGTGAAAGGCAGGATAAGATGCAGAGAGGAGGAGAAACTGCAGCCATTGCCCCAAGGGGAGCATGAGATAGTCCTGTTTCGAGACAACTATAGCACTTACATCACTATTCAAGCTGTGGCTCAGGCCTTGCATGCTTCGCTTTCCTCGAGATCCCAGAGGAGGCTGATGTTGGAGGAAGGAGAGCAATGGGGACCCCAAAGGCTACAGCCGTGGCAGGTATTTCCTTCCCCTTTTTGCAAACTGCAGTCCACACAGATGCTGATCTTGACTGGGGATAGACCTGTAAAATATCATAGTTACTATTAGTATTAGTAATAGTAGCATACCACCCAATACTTCTCTGATGAAAATAGAGACGGCCCACTCCATAATGATAATCTTACAGTTTATACCCAGGGCTTTTTCAGGGGGGAACTCCTCAGAACTCAGTTTTGGCATCTCTCAGGTGGGTGCCATTGCCATTCTCAGAGGGAGGTGTTCCTGGTGAGTTCTGGCACCTTCCTTTCTAGAAAAATAGCACTGTTTATACCCCACACATCTTCTTCAGTTGCCTCAGCACTCTGGGCAGCTCCCAACATAAAGAAATTCATACTAAAATATAAAAAAACTAAAAATTCCTGATATAGGATTGGACGCCCTGTGGGTTGGATAACTCGACATCCACCAACATTTCTCCAATGAAAATAGCGACATTCTAAGGAAAAGTGGGAAATTCTGGGATCACATGAAAAACTGTCTCTAATTCAGGGACATCCCTGGAAAATTGGGGCACTTGCAGGGTCTGTAGTAATACAAATAGCTGAATAGGAATTCCAGTCTACATGAGATACACGCAGGCCCCAAATCATAAGAGGTCGAAGTGAGTAGGACTGAGATATCCATCTTGGCTTCAAGGTTTCTCAGTGCTGGCGCTTTCCCCTGTCATTCCAGTTTCACCCTTTCTTAAGAGAAATCCGGTGTCTGAATACTTCCAGAGGCAGACTGTGCTTGGATGAGAACTGGGAGCGACCAGCGGACTTTGATATTGTGAACTGGGTGATGTCTGCCAATAAGTCTCCTGGCCTTGTGAGAATTGGGAACATAAGGAGAGAGACGTCTGCTGGCATAAAGTTCACCATTAACCCAGAAGCCATTGAGTGGAACAAGAAATTCAACAAGGTAGGGGGAATCACAGAGGGAGAAGGCTAGGAGATGCTTATTATGTTTTTCCTTAAACCACCGCTGAAAAATGACCATATCAGGTTGACCAATGGTGTCTTGACCGTCAATAACAGCTGCAACCACCACTTCTTCTTTCCACAGCAGCTGAGATAGGAGGGGAATTTGGGGTGCTCAAAGAAAGGATAGAGCCCAGAGGTCCTCAGAGAAGACACCAGAATCTTCAACAGAAATACTACGTAGATAAGAAGAAAAGGGAAGGCCCCTAGTAAAAATGAACTATTGGGCTTTCATACATGCAGAAGGATGGAAAGGAATTTATTTTAGAAATGATAATTACTGATTTATTGTTGATTTTTTTAATTTGTGTACTCAGTTCACTTGTAGATGTTGCAAATGTTAAACTATTGTACGTGCAGGAATTGAGAAGTGCACAGCTGTTGGTGAAGGATGAGAAGTTAAAAAAAAAACCCCTATTGTAATATAAGGTTAATGTTAAGGAATGGCTTATGAACTAGAAATAATTAGGGAAATAAATCAGCAATAAGAGGAAACCTTGCAGAATGAGGCAACCAATATTTGGAAAAGTCATATTAAATTCGTCTTAATTTGTGATTGAGAGATTATTCGAATCCTGAACTTTGGGGAAATCACATTTCAGACTCCATTGCCATTTTCTTTGAAGATTTATTAAGCAGGGAAGCAGGTAAATGGAGAAGAGGAGAGTTCTGTGGTGCAAACCTCAGTTGTCCTGAACTAATTATGAAGAACAAGATATTCTGGTCGCCCCAATGGTCAGTGGGGGGTTGAAAGGACCCTGATGAGGGGTCAAAGGCTGCAGTCCAGAGATCCGTTTGAATTCACTCTATGTGTGAATTAAGGTAAAGGTAACGGGACACCTGACCATTAGGTCCAGTCAGGGCCGACTCTGGGGTTGCGGTGCTCATCTCGCTTTACTGGCCGAGGGAGACGGCGTACAGCTTCTGGGCCATGTGCCCAGCATGACTAAGCCGCTTCTGGTGAACCAGAGCAGCGCACTGAAATGCCGTTTACCTTCCCGCTGGAGAGATACCTACTTATCTACTTGCACTTTGATGTGCTTTTGAACTGCTAGGTTGGCAGGAGCAGGGACCGAGCAACGGGAGCTCACCCCGTCGCGGAGATTCGAACCGCCAACCTTCTGATCGGCAAGCCCTAGGCTCTGTGGTTTTACCCACAGCGCCACCCACGTCCCTATGAGTGAATTAAGGTAAAGGTAAAGGTACCCCTGCCCGTACGGGCCAGTCTTGACAGACTCTAGGGTTGTGCGCCCATCTCACTCAAGAGGCCGGGGGCCAGCGCTGTCCGGAGACACTTCCGGGTCACGTGGCCAGTGTGACAAAGCTGCATCTGGCGAGCCAGAGCCGCACACGGAAACGCCGTTTACCTTCCCGCTAGTAAGCGGTCCCTATTTATCTACTTGCACCCGGGAGTGCGTTCGAACTGCTAGGTTGGCAGGCGCTGGGACCGAACAACGGGAGGGCACCCCGCTGCGGGGATTCGAACTGCCGACCTTTTGATCGGCAAGCCCTAGGCGCTGAGGCTTTTACCCACAGCGCCACCCGCGTCCCCATGAGTGAATTGCATACCCACAAATACTCCTAACTGTTCCTCTTTCTTGCACCTTCTTGTCTTTCTGGGTAGGCCGTGCCTCGTTCCAGGTGTACAGAAAGATGTCGACCTGGATATGCCAAGGTGGTTCTAGAAGGAAAGCCCATTTGCTGCTATGCTTGTGCTCGGTGTGCGGAAGGGACCTTCTCCGCCCAGGAAGGTGGGTGACGCCAAGGGGGAAGGTATTTCTACAGAGAGTAAACACAGGGCAGAAACCCAGTCTCACACACTTTTTGTGAGAATTCTGCAGACATTGTGGAATGTGGCTCCTTCCTCAATTTCTTTAGGATTAATCACCTTCATTACATCCCGGAAGAGAGTTGAAAGGAATGATCATAAGTAAGAAATCTCTAGGATTTCTTCAAAACATAATAGAGCACAGATCATTAGGGATGTAAGTGATGCTGCAGCCACTCTTATTCTCTTCCCCAGATGCAGAACATTGCACCAAATGCCCAGAAGATCACCATTCAAACAAGGACAGAGATCAATGTGTCCCCAAGATTACCACCTTCCTGACTTATGGAGAATATTTGGGAATGGTTTTAGCTTCCGTTGCCCTCTTCTTGTCCTTAACAGCAGGCATTGTGTTGGGAATCTTCATTAAATACAAGGAAACTCCCATAGTCAAAGCCAACAACCGGGACCTCTCCTACATCCTCCTCGTCTCCCTCCTGCTTTCCTTCTTGTCCTCCTTCCTCTTCATCGGGCGCCCAAGGAAAGAGACCTGCCTTCTCCGACAAACGGCCTTCAGCATCATCTTCTCAGTTGCTGTTTCTTCTGTCTTGGCAAAGACCATCACGGTGGTGCTGGCCTTCCTGGCCACAAAGCCCGGGAACAGGGTGAGGAGATGGCTGGGCAAGAGTCTGGCCAACTCCATTGTCATCTCCTGTTCTGGGGGGCAAGTTCTCATCAGCACCATCTGGCTGGGCTCTTCTCCCCCATTCCCAGAGCCCGATATGCACTCCCAGGTGGAAGAGATCATCCTGCAATGCAACGAAGGGTCTGTGGCCATGTTTTACGTTGCCCTCGGCTACCTGGGCTTCTTGGCTGCCACCTGCTTCACGGTGGCTTTCCTAGCCAGGAAGCTGCCCGGCTCCTTCAACGAAGCCAAGCTGATCACCTTCAGCATGCTGGTCTTCTGCAGTGTTTGGGTGTCTTTTGTGCCCACCTACCTGAGCACCAAGGGCAAGTACATGGTGGCCGTGCAGATCTTCTCTATGTTGGCCTCCAGTGCTGGGCTTCTGGGCTGCATCTTCCTTCCCAAGTGCTACATTATTGTGCTGAGGCCTGATCTGAACACAAAGGAGCACCTGACAACCAGAAATTAAAGGGACGTATGATTCTTAAAATATTCCATGTTCCCTATGTCCAGAAGTACATAAAGGAAACACACCTGCTCATCCATGTTCTTCCTTCTCCACGTCTGAAAGAGATTATGTTCCTTCTTAGCCCAGGTTTTGTGTAGTCCTGTTGACATGAACAGTAAGATGGGTGGAAATGTTTTGTATGCTGAGTCATTTACAAGTGCACTTCATGTCATTTCGTTCTCCCAAGTTTTGTATATCAATAAACTGAGAAATTAATTTAAGTTATCTCCCGTAGTCTGTTGGTTTAATTTCTGTATCGCTTAAGCTCTGCTCCCTGTTCCAAAGAGTAGCAGCTGACCTTAGCCAAGCCTTGACTGAAAAGCGGTTTTATGTAGATGTTAAACAATGTGGGGATAGGATCGAGCCCTGTGGAACTCCACATTCAAGGTTCCCGGAGTGAAAAACATTCCCCAAGTAACACTGTCTGGAAATGACCATCCAAGTAGGACTGGAACCACCGCAAAGCGCTGCCACCCACCCCTCGCTCGGAGAGTCACTCCAGAAGGATACCATGCTCAATGGTACCGAAAGCCGGTGAGAAGTCGAGAAGAATTATCAGGGACATGTTTCTCTCTCTCAACAGAGGTCACCATACTGGACGACCAAAGCAGTTTCTGTGCCAAAACCAGGCCTAAACCCCACTTGAAATCCATTACCAAGACAAGACCAAGGAAGTCCAGCACTTTCACTGCCTCCCCTGCAGATGTGAAGAGAAATAGAGCGGAATGTTGTCAACATAATTCTGATAACATACTCCAAACCTCCGGATAATCGCACCCAGTGGTTTCATGTAGATGTTAAACAACGTGGGGGAGAAGAAGAAGAAGAAGAAGAGGAAGAAGAAGAAGAAGAAGAAGAAGAAGAAGAAGAAGAAGAAGAAGAAGAAGAAGATTTTATTTATATCCCGCCCTCCCCAGCCAAAGCTGGGCTAAGAGCGTCTAACAATAAAAGTAACACAGAATTCTAAAATCAATTCATTCTAAAATCAATTCAAAATCAAATTAATGGCAACCATTGGGCTACAGTTCTGTGGGGATTACCAAAGGAGGGGGTCCGACTGTGCCCTGGCTGAACAGCTCCGTCTTGCAGGCCCTGCGGAAAGATGTCAAGTCCCACAGGGCCCTAGTCTCTTGGGACAGAGCGTTCCACCAGATTGGGGCCACAGCCGAAAAGGCCCTGGCTCTGGTTGAGGCCAGCCTAACCTCCCTGTGGCCCGGGACCTCCAAGATGTTTTTTGTTAGAAGACCATAAGGTCCTCCATGGGACATACCAGGAGAGGCGGTCCCGTAGGTACGAGGGTCCTAGGCCGTATAGGGCTTTAAAGGTTAAGCCAGCATCTTAAACCTTATCCTACATATTATTATTATTCAACTACCAGACTTTTAGAAGACATCTGAAGGCAGCCCTGTTTAGGGAAGCTTTAATGTTTGATGTATTACAGTATTTTAATATTTTTTTTGGAAGCCGCACAGATGGGCGGGGTAGAAATAAATTATTATTATTATTATTATTATTATTATTATTATTATTATTATCATCATCATCATCCTGTACTCCACCGGGAGCCAGTGCCCTGTGGACATTCAACGTTCCCGGGCCTGAAAAACATTCCCCAACTAACACCGTCTGGAAACGGCGTCAGACCTAAACTGACGCGTAAATTAATAATGCAGAGTTTTTAATTGGAAGAATAAGAGCTTTGCTGAGTTAAAACAAACTTCTTCTTAAACAACATGGTTCCAAACAGTCTGACTGAGATTACACACTGCTCACAACTGAGGCAGACTGACTCTGACTGACATCTTACTGAGGGCACAGAGAGAAAATGGCTGCCAAGTCCCATGCCAGAGTGACTCCGCAGTTAGCAGTCAGGCCTGGAGAACATGACTAGGACCAAATGACGGCGCAGTCCCAGCACTTCCCAGCCTGCTTGGCTGCTTCGGCTCTCAGGTGTCTTTGTCACATAAACCCCACTTGAAACGGATCCAGAAAATCAGTTTCTTTCCAAAGCGCCTGGATCTGGTCTGCAGCCACTCACTCCAGAACATTGCTCAGGAAAGGGAGATGAGAAACTGGCCGGCAGTTAGTTAGGTTTTCTGAATGCAAGCACAACAGCTAGGACTTTATACATAGGCGCCGACTCCATGGGGCCTGAGGGGGCCCGAGCCCCCTCAAAAATTCGTTTGGGGGGGCTCTGCCCCCCCAATAATTTAAGAAAATTATTAGTTATATTATGCTTTGTAAAATCACAAAATTAATGATAGTGTTACGGTGCTGCGGGCACACTTAGAATTTGTCCCGGTGCGCGAACCTTCGTGTAAAGTCTGGCGGGCAAGCGCTGCGGCCGCGGCGACATCAAAAGGACTGGAGCAGAAGCGCCTGGAATCCTCCACCTCGCGTCGCCTTGACGCTTCGAGACATTACGACGCCGCGGCTATATAAAGCCCACCCTGCTGGCGCAGTCATTCAGTGTGGATAGTTTCGTTCAGTGCATGCTGCAGACGTGTTTTAGCGTTCCGACTTTAGTGTTTAGTGGACTCTTTTATATGACTATATTTTATTCGTTTACTTTAGTCTCTTAGTGTATTGTGAATTAAGTTTGCAATGGATAAATTTGTTACCAAAAAGGCGCGCTTGGAAGTTGATGATACTGCAAGTTTTCGGGGTTCTAATGTTGATCATATGACTCTAAAAAACTTTTAAAAAACTTTAAAACTCACTAATTTTCATCTAAAATTTAGAAAACTTCCCGGGGCAGGACCCCGGTATGGCCCCCCCCCAATATTTTTTATAAGTCGGCGCCCCTGACTTTATACACACGAAAAGTGGAAAGAAGGAGAATTCCCCACCAACGAGGAATAAGGGTTTATGAAGCTGGTGGAATATGCTGAAATGGAGAAATTCCCTGCTAAACTAAGAGGACATAAGGAAGAATTGTTCCAGGAAGAATGGAGACCATTGTTATATTATCTGTCAAACTAACATCCATACCTGAAGTCAAAGGCAGGATTTGAAATATAAGCAGAGGATTACTGATATACGACTTCGGGGCTTAGATAACTTAAACATGTTTTTTAAAACAGGTGATAAAAAGGAGTAATAAAATAAACATCAAGAAAGGAGGGGTGGGAAGTCAAGAAGCAATTATGTATTTAGTTGTTTTTTAAAAAACTCTACGTAGACAAGTGTTTTGGAATATCTTTGGAGACTTAATAAAAAATATTTTTTTAAAAAATAAAAATAAATATAGCATCCACCCAGATTCTTAGGACGCTGATACAATTTCAGTTCGTTTTGTTATTTTAACTTTTTTAATGTTTAATGTTTAACTTTTTTAATGTTTGTAAACTTTTGTCTGAATGTCCTGCCTTATCTTAAAATAAAGTGCTTTAGGGGTTATTGGCCTAATCAAGTGCTGCATCGATTTTATGAATCAGATTAAATAAATAAATAAGAATAAATAAATTGATAAAGAATAATAAAGCTGCTAGAATACTAGCCTGGCTTCTGCGCAGACAATTTTTTTATGAGTAGAGAAGTATCTGCTCAAAGACGAGGAGCAAGTTGGCTCCATGTGCAACAGAAGCTCACCTTCTGCAGAACATGTCAAAGGGGAAGGGAGAGCCTAAGGCCCAGGACAACCTTTCTCCCCTCAACCAAATCCAGAGAGCTCCCCTCTGTTGGAGAAGCCTTTCAAAGATGGGGTGGAAATTCACTTGAAGTTGCTTCAAAGCCACCAAGGCGCTACTTCCCTTCAGGGGGAGAACCAGAAGAGAGCGGCAGGAATCAAGCAGCCCAGACCCACCCAAGGTGGCCAGAGGGTGGGCTTGAGAAAACCCTCCCCATCGCAGGCTCCACCAGTCTCAGTCTCTAGCAGCCTCCAGGAAACAAGATCCCACCACCATGTATCCCGTTCACAGTAATGAGGATGGCATTTCTCTGCATTCTCCATTGATTGATTTTTATTTATTCATAGTTATTCCTTTATTTATTGATGTACTGAACCTATATATCGCCCTGTCCCTGGAGGTCTCAGGGCGGTTCACAGAACAAAATCAAAATATAAAACCACAACATATATAATCAAAATAAAAACAACAAGCCAATAATTCCCCCCCAAACCCCCACATTTTAAAAGGGCTTAGGATGCCTGGGTTACAAGGCTGGGACTCCTTCATCTGGCTGTTGTCCATCCCTGACTCTCCCACCTCTTCTTAAAAACCTCCAATGAATCATAGAATGGGAGACTTGGAAAGGGACCCCAAGGTCCTCTAGTCCAACCCTCTGCAATGCAGGAATCTCAGCTAAAGAATCCCAACAGATGGCCATCCAAACTCTGCTTCAAAACCTCCAAGGAAGGAGAGTCCATGGTCGGATCCAGCTCCTTCTTTGGTCCTTGTGAGCAAAGTTCAGGCCAAACTTCCAACTTCCAAGCACACCCCTTGACTTCTGTCCAACATGTTTTTCTCCAGCTCTGCACCTGCCGCTTGAGCCATTCAGGACTCCAGAAAGTTATTGTGCTGAAACTTATTCCACTTAGAATAGTCGAAATTATAGTCATCTCATCTTCTAAAAGCTCAGGAGATGTTTCTGGAAATTGCATGAGCCTCGGAAAGCAACAACAGCATGGCAATATTAATTGAACTGTGACTGGGAAAGAAAAAGTTGGTGCAGAGAATTTTTCCTGTGTTGGAGACAGACTGAGTGAAGATGCAGAGCTGGCGAAAGAGGGGTGTGCCTGCCTTGTGCTTCCTAGCTCTGAAGGTAGAGTTGAAAACCACCCAGATTGGGAAAGCCCAGGCAGTCTGGCCTTGCAAGAATCTTTGGGTTTTTCTGCTTTAGCTCCTTGGTAGGTAAGAGGAGGAGGAGGCACAGCCAGAATGAGATCCCTGCTTCTGCTGCTCATGATGCCCTTTGGAGTCTGCGGGAACCACAAGGCGAAATGCCCCTTGAATCTGGTCAGGGATGAAACGGATGCTCGCAATTACTACCGGCCTGGACACTTTCTCATCAGTGGGATCATATCTCCAAAACACTTCTATAAGGAAACTCCATACGTCTTTTCTCAGACACCCTTCGCCAGGACTGAGAGGTATATAAAATCATATGTGGGTGGGTTTCATGGTCCTCCAGTCCTTGTAATGGTTTCTATTTATCAAGGAAAGAGCCCCTTTCTCAGGGCTGGGGAGCCAAGGCTGTCCTCATGTTGCAAGTCTACCCTGCCCTGACCATTGGTCTTGCTGGCTGGGCTGATGGGAGCTGGGGGGTCCACTAAAAGATTCCACCCAAACCTCTCCCATTTCCTTGTTCCCTGGGTCTTCCTTAGTGAAACACTCTCCTACCTATGGATGCACTGAGTTCCCCCACCTGCAGGATGCCATGAAACTCAGGCAATTCAACCTTTGAGCTCTGGAAATTGCCTGAGTTTCATGGCTTCCTGCAGGTGGGGAAATTCAGTGCAAACTTTTGAACCCTGACCAGATTCATTGGCATTCTTGTATTCTTCTATTATATCCTTATACTGATATAATATTATAAATGAACATCAACAAACTGTCGTTAAAGAATGCTATAGTTTTAAAAATGGATTTTTAAAATCCTACAGGTTAACGTTTGGTGGCTGAAGAGCAGGAAATATGTGCTTTAACTGAAATGATAAATAAAATAATATGAGTCAGGTGACATCCTTTTTAGTGGAGTCTAAAATGTGAAAAGGAATCATTCCTTTTCTTCACACACACGCACAACTGGTCTCATTTCTAACGATTGCAATGGTTGACAAAGAAGGTACCTGTTTCCTAACCCAGAGGGTGACATGAAACTCAAGCAATTTCCAAGCAACTGAGATTAATAATTTTATGTTTGGATCACAGTTCTCTTTATACAACACAACAGGACACCTACATCTAAGTAAGAAAAAACCTCTCTTGAAAATAGGTGGAGTTTTATGGGAGAAGAGCAGGAATGATATCCTTCAAATAAAATGATTATATAAAATAATACAGACCAGGGGTGTCCTCACTGGTGGAGTCAAAATATGGACAAATTATAAATTTTACCACACACTCAAACCTGAAAGCCACCAGGCCTCATTTCTAACTAAAAGGGGACTGAAGTATTTGGTGCTTCCCCTCCTTCAATAAAATTGTCTCTTATCTACCTATAGTCTAGCCCATTGGAAGAAGTCAAAGACCAATGCAGGAAAAGCAGGCTTTCCAGCAACTTCCCAGTATAGCACACATTTTGAAGGGCGCCTTCATTTCTTACTCATAGAACACAGTAGAATAGAATCATAGATTGCAGAGATGGAAGGAACCCAGAGGAATCTCACCTGAAGCATCCATGACACATGGTCACCTTCCGAGGGAGTCTGTTCCACTGTTGAACAGCTCTGTGTGCTATTTGCATCAAAGCTCCGGTCATGGAGCAGAGATCTGCAAATTTGTATTCTATAGGTAAAGGGACCCCTGGCCATTAGGTCCAGTCGTGGCCGACTGGGGTTGCGGCGTTCATCTCGCTTTATTGGCTGAGGGAGCCGGTGTACAGCTTCAGGGTCATGTGGCCAGCATGTCTTTATTCTATTTATTTTTATTCTATACTAGACTGTAAATGATTTGATATTAATGCAATAGGATTAATCAATAAATACTAATCTTTTTGGATCATATAATGTCCCCCCCCCATCATATGAATATCAGTTTCACTCTTTTTAAAGGATTCATTTGTTGCAGGGAGTCACCTAGGCTCTATTCGTACATGTTGTCTTTCCCGCTCACCATCCAAGAGATCAGCCAGGATCTCAGGCTCTTACCCAACATCACCCTGGGCTACAACATCTATGAGAACTATTTAGATGCAAGGATGACTTCGGACGCCATGCTAGAGCTGCTTGCAGGCAGTGGATGCAATATTCCCAATTATCACTGTGGAGAACAGAATCGCCTGCTGGCTGTTCTTGAAAGAAGCAACACTTTCATCTCAAGAGTGATTTCAGCCTTGTCAGGCATCTACAAAATCCCACAGGTAAGTGTTGGGAGAGCATGGAGGGAAAGAGAATTTCAGCTGCGTAAAATACTACTTTCTCTTTGGATAGGTCAAGCAGGGATATTTTTAAAAATGGGAAAATCCTGAGCTATGGATCCAACATCCCTTTTTCAAAACTGAGCCTTCACCAACTTGACACCTCCAGGTGTTTCAGACTAAAACTCCCATCAGCCTCAGCCAGCAGAGATTTAGATAGATATCAGTCATTTCAGATAATTAAATATCTGTTATTCTGAAAGTAAAATAAATTGCTGATCTTTTGTTTTCCTTGCTAGATCAGTTATGGCTTCACTGCCCAGGTTCTCAAAGGTAAAACCCTGTTCCCTTTTGTCTACCGGATGATTCCCAAAGAGGAAAGTCAGTACCAGGGGATTGTTGAATTGCTCCTGCATTTTGGATGGACGTGGATTGGCCTCTGCACTCCAGACAATGACAGTGGAGAAAGATTTGAGAGCGCTGTGAAACCTCTGATGCTCAGCAATGGGATCTGCATTGCTTTCTCAAAAAGAGTACCAGAAAATGATCTATATCAATTTATCAGGCCTGGGGAACCTTTTTTCCTATGGAGACAAGTTGGGGTATTTTTTTACTATGTAACCAATGCAATGGGCATCATTCTACTCCTGGTAATAAACACAGTATATGAGAAGGAAATAGGGGCAAAAGTCTGGATCACAACAGCTTTGCTAGAAATCGGAACTGGCTATTACATCCCTCCAAATGACTTCCAGTACCTCCATGGTTCTCTATCCTTTGCAATTCAGACCGGAATAAGGAGCAGCAAAGGTGACAACTATAAATCGCCGTCCAATCTTGTGGATTCTTTGGATGAAGCGTTTCAGTGTTCATATTCAAAGCATTTGTTGTCCGTGAAAGGCAGGAAAAGATGCAAAGAGGAGGAGAAACTGGAGCCATTATCCCAATGGGAGCCTGAGAGAGTCCTGTTTCTAGACAGCTATGGCACTTACATCAATGTTCACGCTGTGGCTCAGGCCTTGCATGTTTCGCTTTCATCAAGATCCCAGAGGAGGCTGATGGTGGAGGAAGGAGAGCAATGGGGACCCCAAAGGCTACAGCCGTGGCAGGTATTTCCTTCCCCTTTTTGCAAACTGCAGTCCACACAGATGCTGATCTTGACTGGGGATAGACCTGTAAAATATCATAGTTACTATTAGTATTAGCAATAGTAGCATACCACCCAACTTTGGTATTCAACTCTGTTGAAAATAGAGACGGCCCATTCCATAATGATAATGTTACTGCTTATAAAGGTAAAGGGACCCCTGACCGTTAGGTCCAGTCGTGGCCGACTCTGGGGTTGCAACGCTCATCTCGCTTTATTGGCCGAGGGAGCCGGAGTACAGCTTCCGGGTCATGTGGCCAGCATGACTAAGCCGCTTCTGGCGAACCAGAGCAGCACACGGAAACACCATTTACCTTCCCAACAGAGCGGTACCTATTTATCTACTTGCACTTTGACGTGCTTTCGAACTGCTAGGTTGGCAGGAGCAGGGACCGAGCAACGGGAGCTCACCCCGTCGCGGGGATTCGAACCGCCGACCTTCTGATCAGCAAGTCCTAGGCTCTGTGGTTTAACCCACAGCGCCACCTGCGTCCTTTACTGCCTATACCCAGGGCTTTTTTTCAGAGGGGAACTCGCTGGAACTCAGTTTTGACACCTTTCAGGTGGGTGCCATTGCCATTCTCAGAGGGAGGTGTTCATGGTGAGTTCCGGCACCTTCTTTTCTAGAAAAATAGCACTGTTTATACATCTTCTTCAGTTGCCTCCTCACTCTGGGCAGCTCCCTAAATAAAGAAATTCATACTAAAATATTAAACATTTAAAAATTCCCAATATAGGATTGGACAGCTTGTGGGTTGGATAATTCCACATCCGCCAACATTTCTCAAATGAAAATAGGTACATTCTAAGGAAAAGTGGGAAATTCCAGGATCAAATGAAAAACTGTCTCTAATTCAGGGATGTCCCTGGAAAACTGGGGCACTTGCAGGGTCTGTGGTAATAGAAATGGCTGAATAGGAATTCCAGTCTACATGAGATACACGCAGGCCCCAAATCATAAGAGGTGAAGTGAGTAGGACTGAGATATCCATCTTGGCTTCAAGGTTTCTCAGTGCTGGTGCTTTCCCCTGCCATTCCAGCTTCACCCTTTCTTGAGAGAAATCCAGTGTCTGAATACTTCCAGAGGCAGGCTGTGCTTGGATGAGAACTGGGAACTACCAGGAGACTTCGATATTATAAACTGGGTGATGTCTCCCAATAAGTCTCGTGACCTTGTGAAAATTGGAAATATAAGGAGAGAGACGTCTGCTAGCATAAAGTTCACCATTAACCCAGAAGCTATTGAGTGGCCCAAGAAATTCAACAAGGTAAGGGGAATCACAGAGAGGGGAGGCTAGGAGATCCTGAATATATTTTTCCTTGAACAACTACTGCAAAATGACTATATCAGGTTGACCAATGATGTCTTGACCGTCCAATAACAGCTGCAACCACCACTGCTTCTTTCCACAGCAGCTGAGATAGGAGGGGAATTTGGGGTGCTCAGAGAAAGAATAGAGCCCAGAGGTCCTTAGAAAAGACACTACCTATTTCCGAACCAGACTGAGAATTTAAGAATTCTGGACAGAATCTCTAACCGAATAGACTACGTAGATAAGAAGAAAAGGGAAAACACCTAGTAAAAGTGAACTATTGGGTTTTCATACATGCAGAAGGATGGAAAGCAATTTATTTTTGAAATGATAATTACTGATTTATTGTGGAATTTTTAAATTTGTGGAGTATGCTCACTTGTAGATGTTGCAAATGTTAAACTATTGTATGTGCAGGAATTAAGAAGTGCACAGCAGTTGGTGAAGGATGATAAGTTTTTTTAAAAAACCCTATTGCAATATAAGGTTAATGTTAAGGAATGGCATATGAACTAGAAATAACTAGGGAAATAGATCAGCAACAAGAGGAAACCTTGCATGCCTCAAGAACAGAGTGAGGGAAACCACTATTTGGAAAAGTCATATTAAATGTGTCTTAATGAGCGGCTGAGAGATTATCAGAATCCTGAAATTTGGGGAAATCACATTTCAGACTCCATTGCCATTTTCTTTGAAGATTTTTTAATCAGGGAAGCAGGTAAATGGAGAAGAGGAAACAGAGTTCTGTGGTGCAAACCTCAGTTGTCCTGAACTAATTATGAAGAACAAGATATTCTGGTCGCCCCAATGGTCAGTGGGGGTTGAAAGGACCCTGATGAGGGGTCAAAGGCTGCAGTCCAGATATCCTTTTGAATTCACTCTATGTGTGAATTAAGGTAAAGGTAACGGGACCCCTGACCATTAGGTCCAGTCAGGGCCGACTCTGGGGTTGCAACGCTCATCTCGCTTTATTGGCTGAGGGAGCCGGCGTACAGCTTCTGGTTCATGTGGGCAGCAGGACTAAGCCGCTTCTGGCGAACCAGAACAGTGCACCGAAACGCCGTTTACCTTCCCGCTGGAACGGTACCTATTTATCTACTTGCACTTTGACGTGCTTTCAAACTGCTAGGTTGGCAGGAGCTGTGACCAAGCAATGGGAGCTCACCCCATTGCGGGGATTTGAACCGCCAATTTTTCAAAATATAGCACCCTAGGTAAAGGTAAAGGGACCCCTGACCATTAGGTCCAGTCGTGGCCGACTCTGGGGCTGTGGCGCTCATCTCACTTTACTGGCCAAGGGAGCCGGCGTACAGCTTCCGGGTCATGTGGCCAGCATGACGAAGCCGCTTCTGGCAAACCAGAGCAGCGCATGGAAACGCTGTTTACCTTCCCGCTGGAGCGGTACCTATTTATCTACTTGCACTTTGACTTGCTTTCGAACTGCTAGGTTGGCAGGAGCAGGGACCGAGCAACGGAGCGTACCCCATCATGGGGATTCGAACCGCCGACCTTCTGATCGGCAAGCCCTAGGCTCTGTGGTTTAACCCACAGCGCCACCCGCATCCCTATGAGTGAATTGCATACCCACAAATAGTCCTAACTGTTCCTCTTTGTGGCACCTTCTTGTCTTTCTGGTTAGGCCGTACCTCATTCCAGGTGTACAGAAAGCTGTCGACCTGGATATGCCAAGGTGGTTCTAGAAGGAAAGCCCATTTGCTGCTATGCTTGTGCTCGGTGTGCAGAAGGGACCTTCTCCGCCCAGGAAGGTGGGTGACTCCAAGGGAGAAGGTATTTCTGGAAAAAGTAAACACAGGGCAGAAATTCAGTCTCACACAGTTTTTGTGAGAATTCTGCAGACATTGTGGAATGTGGCTCCTTCCTTTACTTCCTTAGTATTAATCCCCTTCATTACATCCTGGAAGAGAGTTTAAAGGAATGATCATAAGGAAGAAATCTCTTGGATTTCTTCAAATCGTAATCAAGGTCAGATCATTAGGGATGTAAGTGATGCTGCAGCCACTCTTTTTCTCTTCTCCAGATGCAGAACATTGCACCAAATGCCCAGAAGATCACCATTCAAACAAGGACAGAGATCAATGTGTCCCCAAGATTACCACCTTCCTGACTTATGGAGAATATTTGGGAATGGTGTTAGCTTCCATTGCCCTCTTCTTGTCCTTAATAGCAGGCATTGTGTTGGGAATCTTCATTAAATACAAGGAAACTCCCATAGTCAAAGCCAACAACCGGGACCTCTCCTACATCCTCCTCGTCTCCCTCCTGCTTTCCTTTCTGTCCTCCTTCCTCTTCATCGGGCGCCCAAGGAAAGAGACCTGCCTTCTCCGACAAACTGCCTTCAGCATCATCTTCTCAGTTGCTGTTTCTTCTGTCTTGGCAAAGACCATCACGGTGGTGCTGGCCTTCCTGGCCACAAAGCCCGGGAACAGGGTGAGGAGATGGCTGGGCAAGAGTCTGGCCAACTCCATTGTCATCTCCTGTTCTGGGGGGCAAGTTCTCATCTGCACCATCTGGCTGGGCTCTTCTCCCCCATTCCCAGAGCCTGACATGCACTCCCAGGTGGAAGAGATCATCCTGCAATGCAACGAAGGGTCTGTGGCCATGTTCTACGTTGCCCTCGGCTACCTGGGCTTCTTGGCTGCCACCTGCTTCACGGTGGCTTTCCTAGCCAGGAAGCTGCCTGGCTCCTTCAACGAAGCCAAGCTGATCACCTTCAGCATGCTGGTCTTCTGCAGTGTTTGGGTGTCTTTTGTGCCCACCTACCTGAGCACCAAGGGCAAGTACATGGTGGCCGTGCAGATCTTCTCTATGTTGGCCTCCAGTGCTGGGCTTCTGGGCTGCATCTTCCTTCCCAAGTGCTACATTATTGTGCTGAGGCCTGATCTGAACACAAAGGAGCACCTGACAACAAGGAATTAAGGGAACACCTGATTCTTAAAATAGTCCATGTTCATGATGTCTAGAAGTGCATAAAGGAAATACAGCTACTCCTCCATGTTGCTCATTCTCCATCTCTGACAGAGATTATGTTCACTCTTAGCCCTGGTTTTAGGAAGTCCTGTTGACATGAGCAGTAAGATGGGAGGAAATGTTTTGCTACCTTGCTTTGCCAAGGACTACAATGAGTCCTGGTCTACTGCCCTTAGTTTGTAAACTATTATCTTTTAATAATTTTGTGTTTGGGGAACTTACATTTATCTCACAACAAGATAGGCTGGAGGGAGAGAGGAGTTAGGTTTCTGAGTCTGTTTGCTTTGTCATGACTACCTATTAACCATATCAATTCTAATATTCAACAATACTGTTTGGTTATGCCAGTTCTATGTATACAGTTTTCAATGTTCCATTCCCCGCATTTATGCGCTATCATTCATAAGCTCACTTCACATCATTTCGTTCTCCTATGCTTTGTATATCAATAAACTGAGAAATTCATTTGAGACATCTTCCGTAGTCTGTTGGTTTAATTTCTGTATTGTGTAAGCTCTGCTCCCTGACCTTAGCCAAGCCTTGACTGGGATCCAATGAATTTTATTGCACTGGCCAGGGTTAGGAATAGGGTTAGGGGCGGGCGAGGCCAGTGGGAAGAGAGGGGAGAGGGAACTCCGGCGCTCACGGGAGTGGCAGGCCGCCTACGCCAATCTTGGTGAATCATTGTGAGCTGGGGAAGGCAATGGGTCACGAAAGGCAGCAGTGGAAAGCGGGGAGAGCTGGGGCGAGGTATATTATATTATATTATATTATATTATATTATATTATATTATATTATATTATATTATATTATATTATATTATATTATATTATATTATATTATATTATATTATATTATATATTATATTATATTATATTATATATATCATATATATTATATTATATCATATTATATTATATTAATATTATATATATATCATATCATATCATATCATATTATATATTATATTATATTATATTATATTGGGACACAGGTGGTGCTGTGGGTCAAACCACAGAACCTAGGGCTTGCCGATCAGAAGGTCGGCAGTTTGAAACCCCGTGACGGGTGAACTCCTGTTGTTTGGTCCCAGCTCCTGCCAACCTAGCAGTTCGAAAGCACCTCAAAGTGCAAGTAGATAAATAGGTACCGCTCCAGCAGGAAGGTAAACGGCGTTTCCGTGTACTGCTCTGGTTTGCCAGAATGCGCATGCTGGCCACATGACCCAGAAGCTGTACGCCGGCTCTCTCAGCCAATAAAGCAAGATGAGCGCCGCAACCCCAGAGTCGGCTACGAATGGACCTAAGGGTCAGGGGTCCCTATTAATATTATTATATTATATTATATTATATTATTATATATTATTACATATTATTACATATACTGTATTTTACCATGTAGAACATGCCCCTGTGTATAAGACACCCCCTATTTTTGGGAACTGAAAATTAAGAAAAAGGGGAGGGGTCCCATTTTACTCGTCTCATACACGGAAAAGTATGATATATAATGTTATGTTATGTTATGTTATGTTGTTGTTGTTATGTTATGTTATGTTTATGTTGTTATGTTATGTTATGTTATGTTATGTTATGTTGTGTTATGTTATGTTATGTTATGTTATGTTATGTTATGTTATTGTTATGTTATGTTATGTTTATGTTATGTTATGTTATGTTTATGTTATGTTTTATGTTATTATACAAGGTGATTCATAATGAAGTATAACAGTTTCAACACACTATAAAAGAGAATATAATATATCCCATGTTACCTGTGACAGAATTGTAGGGGAATGTTTAAAGTATTTTAGAAACAGTCACAGATGTTCTATGTGTGCACCCTTTGTCACACGACACACATCACAATTGAAAATGCCATTGCACAACAAACTCCGTTTTGCTGAATTCAAGAACACAAAACGCCTTCTCCACTGCAGACGCAGCCATTTCGCCTGACTAGTCACATGACACGCGCACTCTCACCTCCATCACTTCCCTCAGTCGCGGGACACAAACTGTATCAGTACATCTGCCTCCATGGTTCGCAGCTGTGGTCCGTGTCAGCGCCGGTCTTACAGGATCTGGAAACTGTATATTTCATTATGAATCACCTTGTATTATATTATTTTGGTGTCCAATCACTGCATTACTATAGGATACTTCATTTCGATCAATCAATCAAATCTTTATTACGGTAGTAGACCAGCATTCAGTAGGGTGGGGTAGAGTCATTTCCAATCTGTAAAACGTTTTGGAAAGCTAAAATGTATTAAAACACAAAGTATATATAAAAGTCTAAAAGAAGCGAAAAGAAGGGTTCGGAGCATTAAACGGATGTGGAAGAGCATAAAAGGTTAGTATATAAAAGACTCTGGCCATCAATTTCCAGGGCACTCTGATATGAGTGTTCATTACATCTAGTTTAACAACAACAACAACATTTATTTATACCCCACCATCTGGCTTGGTTTCCCCCAGCCA